GGTGGATCACACTACAGGGTGTGTTTGGGTGGGCAGTAGAAGCATAGCCTTAGGATCTGTGTCTGATTCCATGACCCTACTCCTCTACTCTGCTTCAAGGTCTCCTCAAGCTAAGCAGCTTTACTCTCCCCCCACATCATGGTATCACTGCCTTGAAGCCCCTGACCATGGACGAAATCCTGCCAGAGTGTGAGTGAAGTGAAACATCTCCTCCTGTAAAGTGTGGTATTGGGTATTGTGTCCCAGTGATGGGAAAGCTCACTAATGCTTATACATAACTATTCACAGGCTAAAACAGTGTGCAGTCATTACTTTCTCACAGTCCCTCATTCCATTTTTGTCACAAAGCAGGTAATCATTAATTTTATAGTATTTTAAATTAGTTGATAATAGTATTCATTAATATAGCAAGTATATATGATCATTCATTAATTTAACAAGCATCAACTACATTCCAGGAACATACATGCTGAGATTAAAAACAGGAGTTCAGCGATCCTTGCCAGAGTGAGCTGAGTGCTGTAACAATCCTCCAATCTCAGAGACTAATACAAAATTCATTGCTCACTCCTGCTACAGTCCTCAGCCAGGGAAGACAGAAGCTCTGTCTCTTCATAAAGGCTTATTATTTTCCATGTGATCTCCCCAGTGTGGTCCTGAGCATCGATATCCAGCAGGATAGAAAGGAGAGAAAGTGTGGAGGCCTGGGGTGGTGGGTGACAGGGGCAGGATAAAGAGCCACCATTTCCATGCATGCTCCAGGAGTTACAATCCAAACCACCATTGCACTAACTTCAAAGAGAACAAGCTCATTAACAAGGGCTGGGAGTGTCTCACTTGATGACCAGGAGAAAAAAGGAAAAAAGGCTTGATGAGCTTGGAGCATTACATCCCTGGTGGTCTACCCATCTCCCTTCTGTGAAGTATACCTGCCCCTCCCACCAGATGCAATGCACAGACCTGGATATCTGGGTCTGCATAGTTTTTGTGGTCCAGGAGAGAGGCACCTGCCCACCACAGACATTTACATGCTTCATAGGACAATGGGGTGAGTCACAGAAAGGACAATGAGAATTCCCACAATGAACATGATAGAGTGCAGGATACGTAAGTTCCTGGCCCAATTATGCAACCCAGATGAGTCAGGAAGGGAAGTTCACTAAGTTTTCCTTCGGTTTTGTAGGAGGAGTCTGTCTGACCAACTTCCTCTGTGACACTCTGAAGAGGGATGGGAGCCTTGTGTTCTTTGGGCACTGCACCTCTGCCCCCTTTTTCTTTTCTTTATGTTGTGGCAAACTTGTGAAGTGAAAATCAAGTAGGCAAAGGGATTTTAATGGGGGAGGTCTAGTATTTCATCTTGTTTAATATGTTTCAGTGTTGTGGCGTGTTAGCAGTAAAATTGTTTTCAAATGCATTTACCCTATTTGTTTCGAACTGGTTCATGTTTGTCCTCCTATACCCACAGTTCTCTCCAAGGCATTTCCAAGGCTGTCTGTCTTTCTCAGCAGATATCATAGGGCAGCTTAAAGAACAGACATTTATTTCTCACAGTTCTGAAAGCTAAGAGTACAAGGCCAGCTAATTACATTCCCACTGAGGGTCTGCTCCCTGGGGTTCACAGATGGTGTCTTCTTGCTGTACCCTCATACGGCGGAGAGAGAGGTCATATCACTCACTTTCCTCTGACCAAGGCACTGATTTCATCTTGAGGGCTTCACTCTTATGATCTAGACACTTGCCAAAGGCCCCATTTCCACATGTATATTGCGAGGGGGTATTGGGCTTCCACATCTGAATTGCGGGGAGGGGGCATGAATATCCCATCCACAGCCTGTCTTCTATCTACGTGTCTTGTTCTCAAGGCCTACTCTCTTACGTTGTGTAGGGGAAGCCTCGAGCAGGCAAGGACCAGTTACCCTCACAAGACTGGGGAAGACTTCTACAGATTGGAAAGACTGACGATTTCCCTTGAAAATTTCATTATGTTCATAAGGAAGATTAAAACAGAAAAAAATAAAGAGTGACTATGTAGAATAACCAGCCGATTAAAGGAATTGTAAATCTTTTTGGTAATTCTAGAGCTGGGGTTCCTAGGGAGCAATTGCAAGGAATGAAGCTGAAAAGACCTTTACACGCGAGATTATAAAGGGTCAAACTGGGCTTGGTGTTAGTTCAGCAGCAAGCAATAAAGAATCTCTAAAGGACTTTAAGCAAAGAAGCAGGAGTGCTAAAACTGTGCTTAGGAAAACCCCTAGCTTCCATCAGGAAGATGAAGCAGAGAAAGAGCTAAAGAACAAACTCTAGCAACTATCACAAAGCACAGCTATAAGAGCAGGTATGGTGTCTGGGAAAGAGTTGATGGAGATCAGGCAGGGGATTTGGGGTGGAGAGGAGTTTGGATACAGGGAACTTCAGGATGGGGATTTCCACATTACAGACACTGAGGAATGGCCATTCTCATTGCACTCAGATTTTTCAGACTCCAGGCTCACTCCAACCATGTGCACAAATGATCATGTCCGTTCTGTCTGTTTCAGTGAAGTCCTGAGTTCAATGTTCTGTTTGCGAAGTCTTGCATAGGCATTCTCTTCATGAATCCTGAGCAAAAAGCTCAAGTTTCCAGGCCAGCAGGCATGTCAATTCTTGAACCCACAGAGAAAGATCCACGGAAAGGAACAAACCAATATAAGGTTTCAGAACTCATCAGTCAATGACATAGGAAGCTGAACCCCTAGCTCCTTTTAGATAAGACACTATCTGCCTGCCAATGAGAATAGGAGGAGGGGAGCATGAAATATATGATTTTACATGCAAACCTAGGAAGGCAAATATTTTCTAATGAGCTAGAATGTCTAATCATTAAGTTATTAAAGTTAAAATTCTCTAAATGTTAGGTAATCACCATCAGCTTCTTAATTGTTTGACCCAAATATAAATTCAAACACAACGATTTCCCCCTATGAGTATCTCTAATTCAATTCAAATACAAAAAGCCTTGTAGCTTTCACCTCTTTGTATGAGAAATGTCTGTTCATTTCGGATGCCCATTTTTGGATCGGGTCTTTATATTTGGGGGGACTGATTGTTTTGAGTTCTTTATATATCCTTGATAATAGTCCTTTGTCTGAGGTACAGCTGGTAAAAATTTTTTCCCACATTGTAGATTGTCTCTTAGTTCTGCTAATGGTTTCTTTTGAAGTACAGAAGCTTTTTAGTAAGATGAGATCCCAGTTGTTGATTCTTTCTGCTAGTTCCCGTGCTACTGAGGATTTGTTCATAAAGTCTTTTCCTATACCAATGTCTTCCAGAGTTCTAATAGGAGGAGGGGAGCATGAAATATATGATTTTACATGCAAACCTAGGAAGGCAAATATTTTCTAATGAGCTAGAATGTCTAATCATTAAGTTATTAAAGTTAAAATTCTCTAAATGTTAGGTAATCACCATCAGCTTCTTAATTGTTTGACCCAAATATAAATTCAAACACAACGATTTCCCCCTATGAGTATCTCTAATTCAATTCAAATACAAAAAGCCTTGTAGTACTTGAGAATGTGCATAATAAAAGGGTGAAAATAGAAGCACTGTGTGAATCGAGTCTTTCTCAGATTTGGTTCACCAGTTCATTACCGCCCTATAAGTGAGAATATCCTTTCTGAATAATTAGGCCATCTTGAACCCAATCTGTGTGTTCCTTATTAAACACAAATGAGATACTGAAGGATTGCACTGTAGCATTGCTGAGATAGATCGATCCCTCGGGGCAAGGAGAGGTAAAACTGGACAGTGAGCACTGAGATTAGAGGGGAGAGCACCAGCGCACAGTCAGACTGAGGGCCCGGTGCTTCCTAGATGGACCCAGACAAGCCTTTGTCATAAACATGATGGTGAGGATTAGCTATAAAGGAAAGGTGCAAAGTTGAGGCTGCCTGGGTTCTAACACAGCAGGAGCTAAGTAAAGGCAGCAGTGGTGGTGCTGGTGGACCTCGAGGTCTAAAATGAGCCAAGTTGCTACACCTGGTAAGCTATGAGGTCAGGCATGGTGTCAAGAAATGGACTTTATTATTTGAACAAGCCCATCAACTTGCATTCACATCCACTGAACAAACTCTCTAGGTAATATCCTCCCAGAGGTAAGTTATATGAAAGGATCAAAACACTGTACTTCCTTAATTCTAAAGCGTATGTTTGGGTTCACACATTAATGAATCTGAAATCTCGAAAGATCTTACAATTGATTTACAACCAATTAAATGTCACTCATCCTCTGCTCCAAATGTCCTGAAATTGGTGGTGCAGATTCCGATCAAAGGCATTTTGAAAGGGGTAAGTATATTTCCTATGTGGGGCAAGGTAAGCCACACTTTACCCACTTTCAGCACATTTCAGGTTCAGGGCATCTCAAGCTCACGTCGTTTCTACCTTTTTACAATGAGTGGGCATACTCTGAATAACGTGCTCCAATGAAGTCAAATGTGGGTCCTAATGCTTGGTTCATGAGTTGCGTGCCCCTGTGCCCTTGTCAAATGTCACTTTTCCTAGGGTGTCTCCTGATTTTGCCCCAACAAGGACCCAAAATAGCTTCAAGATTCACTGGAGCCTCTCTCTTCTCTGAAGCTTGTTCCGCTATAGACAACTCATACCTACAAACGGGAACGAAAAGTCCCTCCTCTTTCCTCCTCTTTGCCCCATAAGCTGTTATTTGGGGAGTGCTGATATTTCTTTGCATTTGTTTATACCTGAGTTACTCTGTTTCCCACTCTCACCCTGTAGGTATCCCATTCCTCTCGCCTACTGCCGTTCACTTAGCACTCGTAGGTGTTTAAGCAGTTATCTTGAACAAATTAGTAAGTATCCCACATACTAGTCTTAGTCCACAAGGAGCTGTACAAATGAACGATGCTTTGAGAGTAATAGAAAAGTAAGCTGTGACCTCAAACATCCCAGTTGGAAGAAGGACCCTTTTAGTGGTACAAGTTTAAAGCTAGAGACCTTCTAAAATTCATGTCAATATCAGACGGCTAAAGGTGAAAGTGGCATTCTATTTCCTTTAAGCTTTCAGGCTGTGTGCTTTATTTGGATTTCCTTATTAACCTGTGTTTTCCTCAAACACCAGGCTGAAGTCCAGTCTCTGTAGAGTTCCTCCTGTTCTTCCGGTATGAATCAAACTGCCGATGTTCATCTTGTTGTCAAATTCGCCTGACAGATAGATTTGCTACAACAAATGAAAACACTAAATAAGCAGCTCCCATCTATATTTTATGGCTGACATTCGTTCCTGGCATACAGCAAATGTTATCCCAGGATGAAAGCATCTATAATTCCTGAAGTTTTCATTTTGCTGTAAATCATGGTGAATACATATTTCCACTGTGAGACTTCTTAAATGTAAACCCAATGTTAAAATACATGTATTTTTAAAATTCCTTGGAAAGTGTCACAACAAAGTTTTGTTATAGGAGCATGGAAATGCCATAGAAGAGCTAAAAACATCATCAGAAATATTTAACCTAATTATACTTTATAAATAAATATATATGCATGTATACATATATAGATGTAATCAAGAGTTCAAACCTAAGGTGCTTAATTAGAGATGTCTCTCCTCTTCTGTCAGTTTAAAGATTTAATTTTTTTTTTTACCACACTCCAAGGTCATTTGTACAACTGGCAGAACTCCTGAGCCAATGATCTTCCAGAAGCAGCTGTCAGGGGCTCACAAAGGCAGCTGCCATTCAAATGCTCCTTCCTGGCAGACTTGGTCGGAAGAGTGAATGAAAACAGAAAAGAACTCTGGGAGAAGTGACCATAATACTAGGAGCTAACAATTAGAAAGCACTTATGTATTATTTTCTCTAATCTTCACAAATAAATGTTGGTAAAAGTACTCTAAATAGAACTATTTTATAGATAAAAGAACAGAGACTCCAAAAAATTAACTTGCCCCAAATCATAGTTAGCAAGTGACAGTGGATTCAAACCAGTTGACCCATGATTTGAATTGAAGACCAATATAGACCACAAAACTTTTTAAATTGAAATGCCCTTTATGATTGTCCTTCTTCATTGTTAGCTTTGAATTAAAGAGAGGAATCACAATGGTTATACATTTATACAAATTATCTCCTGGCCAGAGTCTTTTCTCTTCATCAGCATTTGGGGAAGTTCTACAGAGTCCTATCTTCTCATGCTGTAACTCTTACAACTGACTACAGGAATTAAAAATCTATTACATCTTTCCTATTTCCATGAGACAGCTTTGGTCCCTATAGTTCAATTGATCTGGATGTGGCAAGAAAATTATCAAACTTACAGTGTCCTTCTGCCTCTCCCAATTTCAAGGATTCCTAAAAAAGAAATATGAAGAAGACTAAAACTTTGAAATGTCTTATTTATAACTATCACATAAATAACATACTACCTTCATCAGAGGTACTATGTACATCAAATATTTTATTTGTGCAAATTAGTAACAGAGCATAATAAGGTTGATTTTGGTGAAGTGATACATGCATGTAGCATATCTTGATCATTTTCATTTTTTTTAACCACCACTCTTTTCCTCTCCTGCTCCCTGATTCACTTTTCTATTTCCAAGTGTTTACTTTCTAGCTTTCTTAAGTGCCCACCACTCTATTCCAGTTCCCTTTACAAGGATATCTGTATTCACTGTTAAGTTATCTGTACAAAACCCCATATAGGATATTATTATACCACTTTATATATATGAAAAATAAGTTTTTAAACTACATCTTAAAATGCCTAAGGCCATAGAGGAATTAAGAAGCAGAATCAAATTGTAACATAGTTCTGTCTATTCAATACAATTTTTCCTCTCTTCTGGTCCCTAAATGGCAATAGTGCAAAATACTACAGGTCCCTCTGTTTGTTTTCTGCCTTTTCAAATTAGAGAATTTGTTGTTGTTTTTCACTTGAAAATATCTCACACAAAATTATCCTCTGATTTTTTTTTGAGAGGTGCTGAACAAAGAGTTTTTGTGATGTATGACAATTTCAAACTTGTCAGAATGCAATTATTAACCTAATATTTATGTATTTATTGCTGTCATAAGACTGTGCACAATGGCTTTGAAAAATTGCCATGACTCTGGTTCATATCTGAGGCTTTATCAAATGCATATTTTTTCATATAATGCAAGGGCCATGGGATTACAGGCACACAGCAGTCATATCCAATAATGCTCGATAACCCTGGAAAATAGAACACCGGGTTACTTTTATGGAAAATTCCATTTTACTTATATTTCTTATTCCAAAATTGTAAGTCATCTAAGAGAGGAAGGTGGCATTTTCTAAATAGGAGAGTCAGTGAAAGGGCTTTCAGGAAATGGAAAAATGGTCAGTCAAACATCAGAATAAAGATTAAGACTCTACTGCATTTCATAAAAATGTGAGATGTCATTTGAAAGTTCAACTATTAATATTGGGACATTTGATTCCACAGAAGCATCCGCTGAAACCATATCTAACTCCTAGAATCTCCGCAGGGAAGGTTTTGCATAATACCATCATGCCCAAGATCATTTCTCTTTTGTGTAGCAATAAAAAATATGTAGAACTCAGAATCTACAGGCTGCAGGGATGTTTACAGGGAGTCCAACTATTGTGGAAATAAATCACATCAATTGTGTATGTCTAACAATAAATTGATTTGTAGTTATGGCATCTTTCCCAAGTAGATCTCAAAGACAATTTCCAAAATTATCCTATGTCCATTATTTCCTTTCTTTTTCCCATGACACCAGCTACCCCACTCCCTGCAACTACTAGGATCTTCACCAAGGAGAGGTGACAGATAACACCTCCCTACCATCAGCCAAGGTCTCTGTCCTTCTCAGAGATTTCACTCAAACTTCTAGGAGGTTATTAAAAAGGCTGTGCCCCTGGTGAATTAGAAATGGCCCAGTTATTATTCAATGACTGTCATCTTGAAGACTTTGTGCCCCAAATCTTGGCTTGCTTTCATTTATCTCCTTCTGGCAGCTCTAAAGAGAACTCTAAGGTGGGGCCACTGAAAGTAATGTTGCTTGATGAGCTAGTTTATTATTTCAGCATCCCCACAAAAGCCCAACAGCTGGCGCATTCCTGGAGCAAAGAATAAAGAAAGGTGTGGTATCGAGCAGAGGCTATTGACTATAAATATGCACTGATGAGAAAAGATGAGCACCAATAGTATAGGCTGAGGGAATATGAAAAGGAAAAGTCCCTCTATACATGCCTGTGCTGAGCTACAAGCATTCCATGAGGCAAGGCTCCAGCCGCAGCCCTGCTGGCCTTGGATAACTCTGTTTCAGCATCTATGCCGTGCATTGCAGGATGCTAACTAACATTCCTGACCTCTACCTAACAGATACCAGGACCACTCTCCCCTGACATTTAATGATCAAAAACTGCCTTCAGACATTGCCAGAGAGCCCTAGGAAGAAAACTGGTCTTAGCTGAAAACCACTTTTACAACATATACCAAACCTCAGTGTTGCCCATGAGGAAGACAGTGTCATGCTTGCTTTACTGGAGAAAGCTCTTACACAGAACTAATTAGGGGCTAGGCATCCTTGAAAGTTTTATACACATATTCATTGTATATTCATCTATCCCCTTATAAACGCTGTGGATTTATATATAATACAACAGTAGTTAACATTCTCTCCATCTCACAGATAAGGAAACTGAGGCACAAATGGTAAGAAACTTGTCTAGGAAGAGTCACTGACTGAGTTGAGATAGCCGGCTCCTGCCTCTCACCAGCACTGGTCTTTGGTGACACGGTAGGAGATTAGAAATCCTGCTCCAAGGCCACCACCTACAGCTGTCTCCTAAAACCGAGAGGGACTGCAGACTGTAGGAAGGTTCTGTACTGATAAGCAGGACTCTGATACACCTGGATTTCTAGTAAGAAAGAACAGCTTCTTCTGCCTTACAGACTAAGTCTGCTGCCTGTTCTGGTGGAGTGCAAGGCTCTAGGAAGGACCCAGATGAAGGAAGCACTAAAGTGACCCAGGAAATGACAGGCAGTGTCTCTTCTGAGGGACACATTTTAACCACCTTCTCCAATCCACACCCTCAGCTCTCTCTGCTCAGCCTTCTCAATGAACCAGCCCACTGAATACTAACTACAAGCCAAACAAATCTTTGCAATTATGTCCTAACTGTTGCTATGAACAATACAGAAACAGAAGGCTGGCTGGATTAATCAGTTATGAATTTATAATGAATAGATAGGCAAGAAAGACTGCTGCCTAAATATACAAAGCTTTTCGATAATAAGAATCAAGTTCAGGGCCTACCTCCACTATTCACCAGCCCTGTAAGTCAAAATTTCTATGTGAGTGGGTGAATGAGGACAACAACCCCACTTCTTAGTGTTCCTGAGAGGGTGAACACTATAAAAAAGGAAAAGATGCGTGAGAGTTTAGCTGGTGAGAGGAGACACTATGTTCCTTCTCATAATCACCCTTCTCAGCAGGACAGAATGAGAAATAGAGGTGAATCCACTATACTGGTGATTAGCAGGTTCTAGCTCAATTGCCACATCTCTCTCCTCTGAACGGAGGCACACTATCAATTCCCTTGGAAAAATTAAGATCTTATTTCAGGGAACATAGTTTCCTTTCTTTTGCTCACAAAGAAGCAATGTTTAAAAAATAAAACTGCATGTGTATTCTCTAGTGCACAGATTCATGTGGGCTGAAGCAGTAAAAGGCGCTGTCCCATGATTCCATTTTACAATAACCCTTCTCCCAGGGACATCAATATTAATACACTTTCCAGGAGGGTGAATCGCCAAATCTGCAAAGCCCCCAGGGACAGCTTAACTGCAACCCATCATGTCCGGGATTTTACAGTGAATCATGGCCCTCCTGAGTACAAATCCTTGTGGATGCAACCCTTGCGACGAGCTGAGACAGCTGGAGAGAAGGGAATGAAAGATACTTGACTAAATTCATAAGTGATTGATCCAGCCAGCCTTTCTGCTCCTTTATTGTATAAATTAGCCATTCAGACAACATGAGCCGTTCCATCTGAGTGTAGGTCTCAATTTCCCTTATTCCCTCCTTTGCGCCCATGATAACAGGTACCCTCATGCCCTGGCATGAAAGACAAGAAGACTGGGGAAGACTGCAACTTACACAGCAGGCACTCACAAGAAGATGCCTAGCTAACTCCTCATGCTGAAGGCCCGTCCCACTCCAGCCACACTGTCACTGTCCTACTTCTTCTAACTTCCTGTCTTTTCTTCCAGGAAATTGCTGTTGGGGAGCAAAGATGGCTTAGTTGTCAAGTTGGGATTTAGAAATTTATTATTTTTTGGAAGTCAAAAAGCTGAATTTCCCCCAAATACAGCTCAAAATAGACAACTCTCTAACACTAAATAGTAACACTGACAAATAGCACGTTGAATGGTAAAATTTACAGGTTAAATGTAACTGTATTTCTTTTTTTTTTTCTGTCCTTCGCTGTTCTCAATCATGACTAAATTTAATCCCACTAGATTCCTAATCTTGGAAGAAAATGATCATTTGCAATTCATGAATCATCTCTCCTTAGACAAAACTGTCCTAGGCTGCCACAGAATTATTCTTGGTGCCATTAAAAATCCCAGCAGAGATGCCTGCTTTGGCCCTTGCAGGAGTTATGTATTCCAACAACATAGTGAAACAAGCTGTAGTTGAAGCATGAAACAATGGTTTTAATGTTTTCTATTCAATCCCCAGGATACAAAAAGAAAGAACAGACAATAACAATACTTGTGATGAAGTAAACAACAACTTAAGATAAGCTGAAATGACTTCCAGTCAGGAAAAATCTTCTACTTACCTTCCTAACTTGGAGTAAAATGATCTGCAGGCCAATAGTCATCTTCTGTGGTTGCCAACGATCACCTGGGCAGAACCTGACACTCAGTGTTGGAGCCAGAAAAAAGCCAGTTTCTCTTGGTCTCCAAATATCATATAAGCTCCTAGCAAACCAAAACCTTTCAGGAACAACTTTAAACAGAAGTTTAATCTGCTTCTATCTGGCTCATTTGAGACTGAAAACATCTCCATCAAGTTTGTCTCAGAGGATTTACCTTTCAGATGAGGACACCTAATTTAGCAATCCATGGCATGACACAGAAACCTGATATGACATTGTACACAATCCATCACCAGAAGAGCTGTAACTCTTACCAAGTAGAATGCACTGTCTTCATAAAGTGTTTGTTAAGAGCCTACTACATGCCAAGTTCCATTCTAGGAGAGTGAGAAACAAGCATCAGTGAACGCATTAGACAGAAATTCCCTCCCCTCCTGGGATTGGGAGGATATTTTGTGGGAACTTCTGA